GTGCCATTCCATTTAATCAGATTTACACTAGCTGAGGATATTAGCCATTATGGGATGTTCATGCCAAGTACATATCCCAGTTTGATGAACAGTCCATGGCACAGATCTACCTTAATAGCTTCTTTTTAAAATGCAGCTGAATTGCATTATTCACATATAAATTTCCTTTGAAAGTCATACCAAATCAATAATTCTTGCATTATTGCAACTTATTTTACATAAAATATGGTTTTATGAATCAATTCTCTAATATACAGATTGTTGCATGTTAAGATAATGTAATAGCAAATGGAATTCTGACATTGACCAGTCATTGGGTAGGCTTAAAATAACATACACATTTTAAAATTATTTTAATAGAATTACTTGGTTTTAAAAAGTGCTTATTATTGATCTCTGAGATGCACATTTTCTGCCTGGAACCTCATTTTAGTAATCTCTAGTCAAGTTATAGGCTGAACAAAAGTGTAGAGATTCTAAGAGTAAAAATGTGGTCAATTTTTTTTTATTCATGGTTGTGGAACATTTCCCCCTCTTGTTTTGTTTTTTATTTGTTTTAGTCCTTAAAAAGTGCTGGATGAAATATCAGAAATATTGAATTGTAGCATAGTGAAGTAAACCTTATTGTGTATAATCCCACTTTAGAGTTTTTGACTACAGGTTATAAATTTTAGAAACCTAACACCTATGCCATAGTTCTCTGCCCACTCACATATCCAAGATATGAGAGACATTTCCTGTTGCATTTTCTGCTGTCTGTTGCATAACTGTGCCAGTGTGAAGGAGGGGAAAACATGGACCGTCATGCCTTTAACTGAGTGCAAGGACAATACAAATCCATGGACACAAGAAACCTACAAAGATCCTTTCTCAGGCTACTTGGGGGGAGCGGGGGAGCTGATATGTACAAAATCTCAGGTTGTGATCAGCCCTTGTGTGAGATAAAGGAAGAAATAAGAAATCTTCCCTACTTTTATGGAAGTGCAAAAGCTTCCTATGGAAGCAGTCTACTTTTATGGAAGTGCAAAAGCTTCCTATGGAGCCCCTTCATTATTACAGGACATAACACCTGTTCTCTCCTGCTGTCTCTATGGCTATGTCTAGACTGCAGGCTTCTTTCAGAAGTAGGTTTTCCGGAAGAGATCTTCTGGAAAAACAACTTCTGAAAGAGAGCGTTCACACTGCAAAAACGCATTGAGAAAGTGATCTGCTTTTTTGAAAGACAGCGTCCACACTGAGTAGATGCTATCTTGAATTTCAGCTGTGATTACTATGGATGGAGTGGCCACCAGGTCACCTGTATTTTTTCCTCTTTCTTCTTCTTTCGAAAGAGGTTTCTTTCCCCATCCACACACACCTTTTTTTGAAAGAGCTCTTTCGGAAAAAGGCTTCTTCCTCGTAGAAAGAGGTTTATCAATGTCAGAAACCCTCTGGCTACGTCTACACTGGCCCCTTCTCCGGAAGAGGCATGCTAATTTAGAACTTTAGAATAGGGAAATCCGCGGGGGATTTAAATATCCCACGTGGGATTTAAATAAACATGGCCGCCGCTTTTTTTCCGGCTTGGGGGAAAACCAGAAAAAAAGTTCTACACTTGCGGAATGGATTGCTAGTTCGAACTATCTAGCCCGTGCCGCGTGTAGCCGCGCGGCACGGGGTTCGAACCAGCCGGCATTTAAAAATGGCGCCGGCCGGCTTATGCAAATGAAGCCTGGGAAATTCAAATCCCGGGCTTCATTTGCAAGTGCGGTATGCCTACATTACCCCGCTAGTTTGAACTAGCGGGGTAGTGTAGACATACCCTATGACTTTGGGGCACTTGACTTTTGAGGTGGCTTTTTTATATACAGGGGGCTTCATTTTTCCAGACTTTCTGGACATCCAGTTGGCATTAGGCCATGCTGCTTCATGATAGATTATCTGAAATACGGGTACCTAAGACTAGGAGGCTTTTGAAGACTGGAGCCAAGATGCAGAGGCTGCTCAGCAACTCTCAGCCAGCACTCAGAACTTTACAAGTCCCAGAAATCAGTGTTCTATCTAAGGCCTCTATGTCCAGTATTCACAGGTAAGGACTTTACCAACTGACTGAAAGCTGATGCCCTCGCCTGCAGCTAGTGAAGATACTTTTTATGTGGGACCCAGAATTTGTGTAAATAACTAAGTAAAGATTTGTAAAGTAGGTTTTTATCATCTTATTTGTCTAGTTGATTTATCTCCCTTCCTCCTTACACTGCCTACAGTTTAATTTCTTTTTGGTTTATTGGAACTATAAAAAGAAGTCTTTTACTCTGAGAGACTGACTTTATTTGAATGCAAATTAAAACTATTATTGTTCAGTTACAGGCCAAAGATTATAAACAATCATTATTTTATGACTTAAATTCCAATCTCTTCTCTCCCTCACCGCTACTTGGTAACTCCATATAAACTGACTCAAGTAGAATTGTAGGCTTTTTTTAACCAATTGTTAATGTATTAGGCACATTAACCCTTTGTGCAGAAATGCATTAGTAATTGGTTTAAAAAACGCTTCAATTCTACTTGAGTCAGTTTATATGACATTACCAAGAGGGGGTAAGGGGTGGAAGGAGAAGAGATTGGAATTTAAGTTGTAAAATAATGATTGTTTATGATCTTTGTGTTAGGTCCTGTACGGAGATTAGTGAAAGAGAGTTGCTTGCCTAAACAGAGATATGTGAAAATATTAACTCTCACCAAAAATTTCAGTTCTCAATGCAGATCCTTTTTAAAAGAAAATGTACTAGAGAAGCACCCAACCAAGATCAGGATTCCATTGTGTTAGGCACGGTACAAACATATGATAGTCTCCACCTCAAAGTAAATAGGTAAACCAGACTGAGCGAGAGGGGAAACAGAAGCACAAAGAGGCAAAGTGATTTCCTTATGGTCAATTTATTCCTGGTAGAGCTGGGAGGTCTCTTGACTCTGAGGCCAGTGCCTTACCCTCTAGTTCTCGCTATTCCTCACTATTATGTTTTTTTAACTGTAGGTCACTGTGGCTCAACAAAATATACTTGGGGAGCCTCTTTTCCCCTCAGCTTCCAGAACAAAGTCACATACTTGAACAAGTCAAGCATGTTTTCTCTTTTTTCCTTTTCTGCCAGAGATAAGGCTGGCTATTTATTTCAAATTGCCTGCATGGCCATTGTCACTGTGAGCACAAAATGCTCTCATGTATTGTGTTTCTTGAGGTCTTTTCATTAAAAGACATTACTGGAATTAGCGACCAAGAAAAAGGGGAGGGGGAGACAGTTTCCCTCAATTGGATTAACCTTTCTACCTTTGGCAACCAGGGTTCAGAAATAAGCCTGCCCTTTAGGTGAAGTAATGGATGAAGCATCAGTAGATTCCTGTTGCAGATAGGTCAGTATGTATCCATTTCTGGGCAGAGAGAGAGAGAGAGAAATTAGAATGCATGCGTGAGAAACCAGTAGTATCTTAGTACCTCTTGCAAACATAGATTCCAGGCTGCCGCACCTAGCTAGAGACACAACAGCAGGCTGAAAGGGTAAATGCATGCTATGCAAATGGTGAGCTGTAGTGAGGGTGTCGCGTTGTTCACCTATTGTGAAAATAATAATTTGTATGTACACTTAAGGCCCACATCAGCCACTGTGGACAGACCTTATTTTGCAGGACGGACAGGTGCTTATTTGTGACAGAAGAAAAGGAAATTGTAAAGACAAAGCAACCCCCATTTGCAGACTTTTCAGAAATCCCTGCATCCTAATTAGCTGAGATTCAACACTTCCATTGTTCAAGGCAGAGGGGTAATAACAATTCTTTGTAGGCAAAGGCATTTTTTTTTTTTACTAAGTGTGGTCTTTCCGGCCTGTTCCAAAACCTAGACTAGCTCCAGCAGAAAGCATTATCAGCATGTAACAATGGTCTGATGTCTAAGACAAGCTTTGACTTCAGCTGAAATGTTTAATTTTTTTAAATGACACAATTAGAGTGAGCTTTTTAAAATCTTGAATTTCGAAAATGTTTTTCTCGATATGTAGGTAGAGAACAGGAGATGGATGAGTTTTAAAAAAAATCAATAGTTAGATTTTATTAACAAAACAGAGCCATATTCTTAGGTGGTGTCAATTGTGCCAGAACTGATCAACAGTATGTAACAGCATTTGGCTACACAGTGATGAGGCACCAGGAGAATTTTTCAAATAAATCAGTTGGAAACTGTAGAAAGAAATAGTAGCAACTGTCAAAATAGTTTGGCTAAAATGTGGCAAATCATCCCCATAATCTTTTGCTTAAAACTCAGACCAGAAAGGTTGCAAAAGAGCTTAATTAATTCTTTTTGTTATTGTGAACTTTTGGGTTCTGTTCAGCAGTACTAAAATATCACAAGAGATGCTTGCTTTTCCATATTTCTTGGCTGAACAAAAGCAGGAAAGTTCAGGAAATCCTGAAAGCCCATTAGTGAGATTTCCAGCCCACTGTCCAAATAATCACATGCTTATTAAGGCAAATGTCCACTGATTTCAATTGACATTTTTTCAGAATAAGACAGTAGTATGGATTTGGCCCAATTTTTCAGTCTTAAGAGAAGAAATATAACAATCATCCAGACATGCAACTGTTTTATTCAAACCGAATTAAATGTCTGCATTTTTCAAAGGTTTACCAGGGTTAATCTCTGGTGGGTTGCTGCCACTGTATTTATCTGCCCCTCCCCCGGTAGGGACAGTTGCAGCTTCCATTGGCCATAGATCATCTTTCCTAGCCAATGGGAATTGTGGGAAGCCGTGTCCTAGTCCACGCCACTTTCTACAGCTACCATTGTCCAGGAATGGCAATCTGCAGTCAATGGGAGCTACGAGTACCTGTGGCAGTGCAGGCAAATATAGTGGAGGCAGCCCTCCAGAGCTAACTCTGGCAGATCTCCACCATCTTATTGCCCACCCCTGACCTACGCCCTCAGAAACATAAGTGTAAAAAGGTGTATGCTCAAACATACTGGCATATTTAAATATATTATTATTATGAATCTTACTTTTATGTGTTGCATCTTTACATTTATCAGGGGCTTGTCTGAAGTCCTCTGATTTGGAGATAAATTTCAGATCAAGATGCCTGCTACTACAGAGTAGATTGTAGTCACTGTGCCTTCTCAGATATTTTACGTTTGTTCTTTTTTCTTTGGCTTTCTTTAATTTACATAAAAGCCATTCAGACCACAACTATGCCTTTTTCTGTATGTACAGCTTTAGATTATAGGAATTTCCCTTGTGCTTTTTATTGCTTCCCAAATTAAGTCATATGGGTAAGGATCTTAAAACCCGGTACCAGCATGTGACTTACTAATAGTATCTACACGGCCGTGTCATTCCCAAGAAAAGCATGTTTCAAATAAAAAGGAAATGTCAGCCCTGAGTATTTTTTTATTAAATCCCCTTTTCTTCTTGTCTTCAAGTTCAGCTTTTGTTGACCACTTCCTCTATCTGGTTTATTTTTATTAGAAATGAGCAGATTCATTAACTGTATGTAGTGGTCACGCAGGGGCAGAGAATGTCCAATAATGGGTAATGCTTGTATTTTTCATTGGGTGACCAATGTTTGCTTTGGAGATGGCCTGGGGAACAGATGTAATCTGAGACAGCGCAGTGTTTACTTCTTCCTTCACTGATATGTGAGGCATATTTGAAACCAGGGAGAAAGAAAAACAAACACTTCAGAAGAAGGTACCTGCAAGCACTCCCCGTTCCCCAGGCTGCCTCCTTGGACTCCAGCCAAAAGCTGCACGTACGCGCAGACGCATACACACAAATACTCACAAGCCTTCAGCCACTCTGGTTCCAAGAATTCTTTCCATCTGACAGCTGATCCAGTGTTCATTCTCCCCATGGAGGGTTTTTCCAATGAACAACTTATTAATAAATGCAACTACCTCAATGATACTGATCCATGATCTCCTAACCATTCTAAAGGCCCTTTCAAACTGAAATAATTTCAGTTTTTAGAATGTATTGTAACACACTTGTGAAATGTTTTTCATTTTTAACCATTTGTCCTCTGATCCAAGACTTGTCCTTTCCTGAAATGATATTTACTGGCAATGAAAGGTCATTGAGGCACTCCTCACACTAGTGGCTGAACAGAGCATTCTAATGAAATACACGATCTGAGGAGCAAGAATGGAAGTATCGCCATATACATGAAATGTTGAAATTGCTATTGCTTCATGTTCATCTAAACATTGTTATTTTCCTATCTAAATAACCTGTTCTAAGATAAGCCTGTGTATGCAGCACATAAGAAGCACAAACTGTTTGTAGAGAAGAAAGCTGACTTTTTGGAAGGTGGAGAAATAGTATGGTTGCTCCCTTTTCCTGGACCTTCTGTGACTTTGTAAATTTTGTATACTAGCTGGCAGCATGCTTAATGCTTTACCGGATACAAAGATTTGCACTAATAATCCAGTAAAAGGAAAATGTATGTCCCTTTACTTTTTAATTAATCTTTGTGGGAAACATCACGGCTCTGTCTAGACTGGCAAGTTTTTCCACAAAGTGGCTGCTTTTGCGGAAAAACTTGCCAGCTGTCTACACTGGCCGCTTGAATTTGCACAAGAACACTGACGATCTAATGTAAGATTGTCAGTGTTCTTCCACAAATACTATGCTGCTCCCGCTCAGGAAAAAGCCCTCTTGCGCAAATGCTTTTGCGCAAGAGGGCCAGTGTAGACAGCTAAAAACTGTTTTGCACAAAAAAGCCCCAATGGCGAAAACGGCGATCGGGGCTTTCTTGCGCAAAACCACATCTAGATTGGAATGGACACTTTTCCACAAAAAGTGCTTTTGCGCAAAAGCTTCCATGCCAATCTAGATGCTCTTTTCAGCAAATGCTTTTAACGGAAAAACTTTGACGTAGCCATTGTGTCTGGTGTACACTTTATTGTGTGTGGTGGGGGAAGGTTCCAAACTTACCCATTTTTGAATGCAGGACACATTTCAAGTGGGCTTTAGGTTCAATAGAGATATTTCACACAGCTTGACTTAATGTTATAGCAGCTGCCTTTCTGCAAAGCTACTGAGACCCAATACAGACCAGCAGAGGCCTCCGTTGCATTCTCAAGTGGCATGGCATCCCGCATTTCTAGAATATTTATATAGTAGTAGACAGTGTAGTAAAAACTAGTTCCTCTCTGACAGCCATGTTGTTCTCAGCATTATCTAAGGATTTTCCAGGAAAGATAAAATCAAATTCCCCTTCCCTGGTTTATTTGCCTTAGTGCTTTTTGGCAACTGTCCCAGAAATAGTCTGAAAACTCAATCTGGAACACGTGAGGGAGGATATGGATTATGGAGTATAGGGATGTCATTGAGATTTGTTTTAAATAAATAAAATAAAGATGTAGCTAGTAGCTCTCATGATAAATCCATATGGTTGTTCCAGGAAAAACAAATATCTTGTATTGAAATAATAAAGCATTGAAGCAGTTTGCCTTGTCAGGTGCTGTGGCACTATTTCAAGACCATTTTCAACAGCACTCGCTGAGTATAACCTGAATAGAAGGTGGTGTTTGGAAATGCTGCTTGTAGACTGTCAGGACAAACAATTACAAAGATTGCATTTTGCATCCTTTTGGATTGTTCATGAACTATTCACAATGGCTGATTTTTGTTTGTTTAAAAAACTTTTGGTCTGTACTGGGTCTCAGTAGCTTTGCAGAAAGGCAGCTGCTATAGCATTAAGTTAAGGTGTGTGAAATTTGCATTGAATCTAAAACCCACTTGAAATATGTCCTGCATTCAAAAATGGGTCAATTTGGAACCTCCCTTACCAGCCACAATGTCTATAGTGGAGCTGTAGCACAAAAGTTTGCTGAATATTGCACAAGGGTGTTTGCTTAGCAGATGGAATACACATTAATACAACATGAGTTGGGAGAAACTGATACAGATACACTCCCTCTCAAATGGATCCTCTTTTTTGAAAGTTCAAAACTGGTAACCCCAGTCACTGTGAATATTCTTTCACACCTTCAGAATTTGCCATAGTCAAAGTGTGTGATTATTCACCTACGTCACGTGCTATCATTTCTGTTAAATGACTGACTATCAACTTGAGAAACTATCACTTGTTGTGGTTATGGACCTACTTGCTTCCATCTCATAAACAAAATTTTAGTTATGCAGTCAGAATAACTTCAGCATGGTTCCATGGCATGTAGCTTGACACAGAATGTAGTTTTCAGAGCTTGGGTTTTATGATTTAGGGGTAACAATTACTCTGGATTTCAATTTAGCACACATGTTCTTTATATTTTACTCTGTTTCTAAATTTAGCAAATCAGTTTAGCTGTTAATTTTCTTAAAGATTTGTTTGTGGGTGTGTCTGTGGGCTCCTAGATTGAAGAGAAAAACTCGTTTTAGCTCTGACCAAACTAGAGTGCTAAAATAGAGTGTAGTTGCAGCAACGCAAGGGGCTAGTTGCTCTGAGTTCATGGCTAAAAGTGTCTAACAGGCATATTTTCTGGGTGAGTAGTCCATCCTGCCACTCATAGTTGTACTCTAGTCTTAGCAAGCTAGCTTGATGAGAGCTGGGAATCACACCCCGAGCTCCAAGTGTAGCTATACCTTCATTAGTTTGTCATCTTACAGAAAATGGATTTTTACACACTCTTAGTCAGTGATGGCTAAGGTCATTTGAGAATTTTTAAAATTGGAATAGACAAATGAATCATTTACAAAGGTTACATCTATGCTGCACAGTTATTTCAGAATAAGCTATTACAGAATAGTTATTCTGGAAAAGCTTATTTCGAAATAGCACATCTACACTGCAGGGAAGCCTCAAAATTAGTCCGCGGTAGGCTTCCCTAACGTAGATGTGCTATCTCGATTTAGAGCCCAAGGAAGAATAACTTAGAATGGCCCTGGTGAGAGGCTATTTCAAAACAGCAGAAGTGGAGCATCTACACATGCTTTATTTTGAAATAGCTACAGTAAAACTCCAATAGTCCGGCATCCAATACTCCGGCACTCCTGATAGTCCGGCATCAAAATGGCAAGAGCCTAGTGAGTGAGCTTTGGCAACAAATAAGTCACAAGGTAACAGCAGCAGCAGCTGAACTGAGCAAAAAGGGTAAAAAAGGCTTAAAAAAACTAAAACATTACAGTATTCTGTATACAGTATGTACAATAAAAAGGGTTAGGAACACTTTATATACAGTATATAATGTATACAGTATATATATAACCAGGTTATAGTATCTCCTGATAGTCCGGCATATTTGATAATCCGGCATCACCTAGGTCCCATAGGTTCCAGATTATCGGAAGTCTACTGTATTTTTGAATAGGCACCATTCTTTGTAGAATGAGGTTTACAGAAGTTGGAATAAGCCGTCCATTATTTTGAAATTATTTCAAAATAACGGAATTGTTGTATAGACACTCGCTTATTTATTTTGGAATAATGGCCATTATTCTGAAATAACTTTGCTGTGTAGACACACCCACTAGAGCATACACAGATATTTTGCACATAATTTTTTACAGGTACATAGTAGTATTAAGAGCTTGATGGTTTCCATACATATCAGAATTGGAGGCAGGCAAAGGGAAGAAGTTGATTGTTTTGCCTTAAAAAAAAACTGCAGCAGAAACCATGTAAAACAGGTAAATGATTTGGTTTTGCAGGAATCCAACAAAAATCTTGACAGTAAATGGGAGCTGCAGCCACTCAGCTCAATAAAAAGCAATCTACTTATTTAGGAGTCTGTGAATTTAGGTTTCTAAATTTAGGCACACAAATTTGAAAATATTAGCCATAAATCTACCAGTGCAGTATGCATGTGCGTGTACACAGACACACAGGCTACATCTAGACTGCAAGCTCCTGTCGAAAGAAGCTTTTCCAGAAGAGATCTTCTGGAAAAACTTCTTTTGAAAAAGAGTGTCCACGCAGCAAAAGTGAACGCTATCTTGCATAAAAGTCCACCTGGAGCTAGTTCAGGAAGCGCATTATGTCATCAGTTACTTCTGAGTGCTGTTGCCTAAGCCTAGCTGAGAGAGGTGCTTAAAAGGACCCCCCTGGACAGCCGTTCCTCTGCTTCTGCTGCATGCTTGCTTACCTCTTTGAGGGGCAGCAAAGCTTTAGCAATGTGTGTTCCGGTTGCCCAGCTTTTGGACGCCACAGGATTTTTCTCTGACATAGAGGTCAGCGTGGCTACCTTGGGTGGCATGGATCACCCTTCAGCCACGGCTGGTCCGACTGTGGAGAACAAAGAGGAAAAGTTGTTCAGTCATCCATGCAGATACTGTCCCTGAGGCCATGCCCTCCTCTGGGAGCAGCGAGCAACAGTCTTTGGGCCAGAGAACGGGGAAGTCCTGGGAACAAGGCCATGTGTGGCCTGCACACAAGCCTTGCCTCACAGAGGCCCCGCAGTGCCCAGGAGACCATGATGCCTGCTTCTTCCTCTCATGGAGAGGGGACTGGAGCAGCCTGGCCCTCCATGGGACCTGCACACACACCTGCACCTGGCTGCGCTGTCCATGGGAACAGGTTATGTCTCGTGCTGGCAGGCATGCCCGTGTGCTGTGTGCAGCACTCCTCAGTGTGTATGGAGTCATGTGTGTGCCCGTGTACCCAGCCTCCCTCCAGCAGTGGCTGGTAGTGGGAGGGTGTCCCCCATGGGGGTCAGATATGTGTGGGGCCTCCTCTGAGCCTGTGAGCAGGATCCCAGGGGTGCTCCAGGGCTGCCTCCTGAGGCCGTGTGGCGCAGACTGGCACTACACGTGCTTCCATGTGCACTGACTGCAGCACAATGTCCAGGCCAAGATGACCGAGCAATGATTGCACTCCATCCCCTCTGCACCCGCCTCCCTTACCCTGTGTGTGTGTGTGGAAAACTGAGAGCACTCACCTGATAATCCCTCCCCACCATTAGAGGATGTCAAGGCCCAGGGGTACCGGCTCCAGGGTCAGCATCACTATACTGGCCGTGTCTTCCTCATTCTGCCTCCACTGTCCCTCCTCCTCCTTGTCCTCAGAGAGCTCTGGGCGGGTGACAACGGGTGTTTTGAGCCCCGAGTCCACCACCACAAGTGGGGAAAGGGCTTCCCCATCCCCCAGGATCTGATTGAGCTCCTGGTAGTAGGGGCAGGAGTGGGATCTTACCCCAGAGCACAAGCTGTGCTCCCTGGCCCAGGTATAGCCCTGGCAGAGCTCCTTTACTTAGAACCGGTCTGGACTGAGTGTCCCTGCTTTTCCAGGGCCTTGGCCGTGCGCCTATAGATCCTCCAGGGTTGCCTCCTCCCCTCATAGCTAGAGGAGGGACAGGATCTCTGTTCCAGACCAGAAGGGTGCACGCCACTTGCTACCCCTGGCAGGGTCCTGTAAACCCTGGTGGTGCTCCCTGCAAGGGCCAGGAGGGTCTCGGGGGGCTTGTGGCTGTGCCATGGGTATGAATGGCTGTGGCAGGGAGAGCCATGCAGTAAGGTGCTGCTTACAGGGCCGGCTCCCTGCCACAAGGTTTGCCCAGGGTGTCTGCAGCTTTAAGAGCTGGCAGGAGACAGGAACTATAGAGTTCTGATTACTTGGGACTGAGTGGCCACTGGGGCACCTGTGCTATTTCCTGGAAGCCTCTTGTTTCGAACCCCTCCCCCCCCAAAAAACCCTCTTCCGCGTCCACACGTCCCATTTTCTGAAAGAGCTCTTTCGGAAAAAGTCTTCTTCCTTGTAGAAAGAGGTTTATCACCATCGGAAAAACCCCACCATTCTTTCGACTTTCTGTTGAAAGAACGCAATAGCAGTGTGAACGTAAGTGACATTTTCTGGAAAAATGCCTGTTTTTCCAAAAATCACTACAGTGTGGACATACCCACCCACCCACAAATACTACAAGACACACACTTTTTCTATAATATATTACTATTAACTCAACATAATAGGTTGGCATGTGGTCAGATTTTTCAGTCTTAGCTCTGTCATAAGAAACTTAAAGACTTGCATTTTAACAGTGGTTTTGTATTTGTTTCCTTTTTTATTTCTGTAAGAGGATGTTAAGGTTTTAAAACAGATATGCATTGAAATACTCTCTTGTGGGGGGAAAAACAGCTGTGTGCATATGCTAAGCAATCAGTTTTGAAACAACTGTGAATAGTGTGCCTTTTTTCATTTGGTTTTTATATATCAAATGACCGTGGCCAGTATTCTAGTCTAATAGCCTGCCAAGTATAATTTTAAGTTTGCTTAACTATTTGTCTAAAGAATTTGTTATAAGACTACAGACTATAATGTTATCTACTCAGAGATAAAATTTCTAGGACTAAAATTCTGTCCCAGGAAAAATACTGGCTAGACCAAAATTGCAGGAGGCATCAGCAGCATCCTTATAGTTTGGGGTTCTCATGCTGATTTTGAGAACTTACAAAAGATACTTGCAAAAAATTCTCAGTATTAATTATTTGTTCATGTTATTATTTCAGTTATGCTTTCCAGGACTAGTCCCTGCTCTAGCTGAAATCAATGGCAGTTTTCTAGTGGCTTCAGTAGAAGGAGAATTGGAAGCAGAAATGCTTATGCATTTTTATTTGGGCAGTTTTCATAAGCTTCTTGTCAATTCATTCTGATTAATGTTTGTTAAGAGATGAAAGTGGGAGGAGACAAAAAAGAGTTGAAATCCAGGGAAGCACTTCCATAAGTATTGATTGGACCATTCTAACATTTTGAGGCTACAAATATCCTAACAGCAGCTTCTCCTGTGAGAGAGCCAGTATCTCGCGCTTCTGGTTAAAACAAACACGTTGTGTGGATTTTTTGCTGTTGTTGAACCTCTGTATTTGTGTTTTTGATTGGGAACTGAGAAGGAGAGAGGTGTCTAAACAAATTAATAAAATATCTTGAGTTGTGAAAGAGGTTCAGATGGAGTTTGGATATTAGTTTTATTTTATCTGAATTGGTTCACCCTTTAGCTTATAATAGGTTGATGTAGTAAATGGTCAAACAAGTCTATTTTAGCTCTAATTCTCATGACCATGAAATCATCCAACCCAGGCAGTTGAATTTGAGATTAGACACCAAATGGTTTGTCAGAACATCTCCACTGACATGCTGGCACCATCAACTCCTGTTGAAATTGATGCTTCAAACTTAAAGGATCAGGCCTTATGTTTGAATTTAGTTCATACTAAACAAGTCATCTGGACACCTCCATTAGTAAATGGAGGACATTACAGAGTGTGGGGAACTTAAAAGTATTCTTTCAGATGAAGAAAATACAATCTGAAAACACTCTGAAATTCCACTGGATGGCTATATCCGTCGTATTCTTTCACATTTTTCTGAAGTCCTGCTGGCCCTCTTAAAAACACTGCAATGTCCCCAACTGCCCTAAAAGGTTCAGATCTATCTATCTATCTATCTATCTATCTATCTATCTATCTATCTATCTGCTCTATATATACCTATTGCCACATCACCAGGCCCACCAATGGAGTTGGTTTGGGGGGAGGGGGGAAACAAAGGTGGGAATTCAAATGGGCTGGGGCTTTTGGCAACCATGATTGTAGCAGTGGTGGCTGGAGCCTTGGACACTTTAAATTGCCACTGGAGCACTGTGCAGCATGCTCTGGGTGGCTCTGAGCATTTCCGGGGGGGAAGGGGGGAGCATGGTGAGGCACACTCTGGGCAGTGCTGAGGGCTGGTTATTCCCAGCCCTATTCGTTCCACCCTTCTGGGAGCACAGAGGCATCCTCCCACACTGTGCCAAGGAGCCCTGCACATCACCTTGTTATTTAAGTGAATTTATGCATAGACAAGTTATTTATGATTATACAAGAGACCATAACCTGAGTCTTTGGGTTAAAGGAGGGTCATCTAGTTAAGGTGAAGAATTAAGAAAAAAAAAAAAAAAAAAAAGCAGAAAATTCACTTTAAGTAGCTTTATATTTTTTATTTTATTTGTTATTGACGAAGTGCATTCTAAACAATGTTTTTGTTGGCCCTTTTGAAAACTTGCTACTGAACATTATATAGAGTTATATCAAGGATGATTATTAATTACCATCCTGAATACATTGCAAGTCACGGTAGACTCCAAATGAAATTTAGTTTCCAAAGCAATTAGTAGTTAATGATACTATAGATGTTGCTCTTTGTACTGTGGCTATTTCTCTTGTTGTTACATCAACACAGAGGCTGTGTCTAGACTGGCATGATTTTGAGGAAATACTTTTAACGGAAAAGTTTTTCTGTTAAAAGTATTTCTGCAAAAGCACGTCTAGATTGGTATGGATGCTTTTGCGCAAAAAGTGCTTTTGCACAAAAGCATCCGTGGCCAGTCTAGACGCGATTTTGCGCAAGAAAGCCCCGATCGCCATTTTAGCCATTGGGGCTTTTTTGTGCAAAACAGTTCTTCCCTGTCTACACTGGCTCTCTTGCACAAGTATTCTTGAGCAAGAGGGCTTTTTCCTGAGCAGGAGTGAGAAAGTATTTGTGCAAGAAGCACTGATTTTGTACATTACAAAGTCAGTGCTCTTGCGCAAATTCAAGCGGTCAGTGTAGACAGCTGGCAAGTTTTTGTGCAAAGGCAGCTGCACCCTGACAGTGTTGCTCATTTGCTTAATAATTTCCTCGGACATTGTGGAAATTGTTTGGAAATCATAATTTAGATTTAAAAACCAGAGCAATGGTCACATATTCTTGATTAGATTAAGAGAATAAAAGCAACAAACTGTAATGAGACTCTCTTCAGACCATGACTTTATTTGACAGAAGGTCTCAGACAGTAAATAAGCTGCAAGTCTGAGCAGAATTTGCATTGTAAGAATACATTTTACATTGTAAAAGATAATTTAGAACAGAGAAACTATAAACTTTACACCAACCTGCAAAACAGTTTCCTTCTACAATTGGTAAAAAAGAGACACTCAGTTCACCAACCGTAGGTGCCCAAAATCTGCAATTTCCAGGTATTTCAAAAACTGATTTCTGTAATCTATCTTGATCTCTTCTTGGTCTAGTTGACTTTTCTAGGAAACTCAGAGACAAGGTGGGTGAGATGATTGCTTTTATTGGACCAGCTACTGTTGATGAAAGAAACACCCTTTTCAGATATACAGATCTGAAGAAGAGCATGTGTAGCTGGAAAGCTTATCTCTTTCACCAACAGAAGTTAGTTTGGTAAAAGATATTATTTCACCAAGCTTGTCTTGCTAGTCCTGAGGTCAACGCAGCTACGGCAACACTGCAAACTGAGTC